TGTGATATGCAGGCTTCCTCACCCTCCCAGGACAGTGTTTATCTGGATGAACAGAAGCTGGAGTGAAGTCCCAAAGGAGACAGGGAGCCTGGGGCGCATGTAGGGAGGGGACACACGATTTGGGGTGTGCATGGGTAGATTTGGGGCATGTGTGGGTGGGAATGTTGGTGACCGGGAGCAGGGTCCTCTCAGGTGTGTCTTAGGGCGGTCACACACTTGGCACAGCTTGCTGGGACAGAGCAGGAACCCAGCCCTCCTCTGGGGGTGACACTTGCCTAGTAAGGCTGACAGAAAAGGAGCGACGAAAAAATTCAAAGCAGAGCTATTTTCTTCTCCAGTTTATGGATGATAACAAACCTGGCAGAGCAGGGGAGGACCCTAGAACCCGGAACAGTGAGAAACGCATGTTAAATCTGTTGCTTGGTGCCATGATCCGTCCACTCCCATCCACTAAACTAAAAATTTCACTGTATCATCCGCCCTTTTTCTTCCTGTTTGATTTTTTTTTTCTTTTTCCTTTTTATTGGTACCGGGGATCAAGCTCATGACTGCCTGCTGGCAAGGCAGGTGCTTATGCTGCTGAGCTAAATCCCCAGCTTTCCTGTTTGACTTTTAAGACATTTATTTTATTTTTGCAGTGCTGGATTGGAACCCAACACCTTTTGCATGTTAAACCCTGAGTTATATCTCCAGCCTTGTGCATTGATCTTTGGTGACAGCAAAGCCTTAACCTTAAATTCTTGTACTTAATGGAAGGAACCCTGCTTCAGGTAACTGCAGTGAAAATCTGTGAAAACCTGTGTGTTTAATTCATGGAAGGCACACTGAGCACCTCTTACATGCAAAGCAGTGTACCAGGTCCTAGCGCTGCATGGGCGCCCACTATGTGGTTCCTGTCCGCGTCAGTTCATGGAAACACAGGTCATACACAAGTATCATTCCAGTATGAAACACAGAACTAATCACAGCTAACACGTATTGTTTGCTCTTTATTTTTACTGGGTTTTTTTGGAGACAGGTTTTCACTATGTAGTCAGGCTGGCTCTGAACTTGTAAATAGCTCACGCTAGCTTTCAGCTCCCAGTGATCCTCCTATTTAAGCCTCCCAAGTGCTGAGATTACAGGTGTGTACCACACCTGGCAGCATTTCTTTTTTATCAGCTTGAGCTAGGACTGTCTTTTCTGGAAACAATTACGTTGAATCTCTTTGAGCCTCCAGGACTTCAGGTGTAAGTGAGGAGTGTGTCCTTTCAGGGCTCTGGAGGGCAGTTGAATAGGGTTGTCATGTGAGTCATGGTCCCCATGAGCAGGTGCCTGCTGCTTTTCAGGGACCCCTGGAAGTGGGCAGAGGTGTCTGAGACAGGTGCGGGAGCAAGAAGGAGCAGAACTCCTTGACCAAGTGCCTGTCCTGTCACATCTGTCTCAAGGGCTCACATGAATTGGCAGGTCCTGCAGAGGTGCATGTGGACAGACGGCCACCCTGCGTGGGGATTCCTGAGGACTGTGCCAGTGGACAGAGGTTCTATGGGGAGGTGCCTTAAGCCACCTGGGTTGGCCCAGCAGCGGGGAAAGGGTTTCATTGGCAGATCTGTGCCAGTGGTTGGCTCCATCAGTTCCCATGACTGCCCAAAGTCTGTTTCCTCATCGAGTGTTACCTGTGGGACTGAAAAACTAATACTAAACACAAAGATGCCCTCAGCACCTGGCAGGCGCTCAGTGGCAGGCTCAGCCCTCTGGAGAGGCTGCAACACTCCCTCGTGACTTCCCCCCAGCACCTGCCTTTGGATTGCTGCCTTTAGGGTAGAATTATTTCCAGGGAGGCTGACCCAAGTGGGGGGGATTGGTTGTAACCAAAGCTTACAAAGGAGCTAGAGCCACTGGCAGCCATGGTGGGTGGGAGGGGAATACACCTGTCAGCAGAGGCAGTCAGAGATACACAAGTGCCAATTGTCCCTCTGGGAGGGAGGAGCACAGAGGATGTGACCTACGTAATGTCTTGCTCTCATGACAGGGTGCTTCTTGTGAGTGCCAGCTCAGTGTGGGCCTGAACAGCTCATGGCTTTGGCCTTGACAGTGGACAGGAAGCCAGCAGGTGAGGATGAGGGTCACGTGGCCCACGTGGATCAAAGCAGCATTCATCCTGCCCTGCCGCATGACCCAGGCTTAGCTGTGCAGCCTCCCAAGCCTGTCCCCATTTTATAGAAGAGGGTTACAGGCTGGGCCGACCTCCCTGGGTGACCACAGGATTACACAGAAAAGTTGATCCTGACCACCTGTGCCTGGGTGGCTCCAGCAATACCAAAGTAGTGACCACGGGGACAGCAGCCGGGACAAGGGCAGGAAAGGCAGGCAGGCCTCAACACCTCCCCGCCTTGTGCCGAGGCGAGGACTTGAGGTGGGCTGCAGTCCTCGGCCTTCTGCACCCAGCCAGGAATGCAGCTTCCTCCTCTGCAGGCTTTGGAGAAAACCCACTTTAAACCTGCCTGTCACGTTTCCCTTCCTGTCCGTAGGCTGCAGACTTGATAGCTTTGAGTTTGGGGCAAACGCTGAAAGGAGGCTTCTGTGGGCAGCGTGCAGGGAGGATGGCTCAGTGGGCAGCGCGGCGGCTCCCTGCCAAGCTGACTCACCAGGATGAAGTACTCTCCATCCCAGGCTCAGGGCTGCGGCCCCTGGATGTGTGGGCCCCTGGGGCAGAAGGCGCGAGTCCTGACTTCTGGGTCATCAGTTTGGTCTTGTGGCAAATGGTTTTAAATTATGTGTGTAGCAAATGAATTCACTTTCAGCATAAGGCAGGATTTAGAAATCTAACTGTGGTCTATAAACACTTTCTTAGAAATCTAACTGTGGTCTATAAACACTTTCAGACCCTTCCCAAACCCAGGCTCCCATTTGTTCTCACTGTGGCTAGGGCTACTCCCGGGGGAATTTGGGGTGTGGCACCATCCCAGGGTAGGGCTGTTTCCCTTCATCTAAAAAGTTTGTTTTGGGTCACTTCTTAATGAAGGTGGGTGGGTTAGAAACATTTTTTCTCCCCAGTTCAGGAAACTGGAATCAGGGAGCACCGAGCTACATCCCCAGCTCTTTTTCTTTCTTCAGTAGGAATCTTGCTAAGTTATCTTGACTGGCGTTGAACTTGCGATCTTCCTGCCTCAGCCTCCCGAAAGCTAGGATCACAGGCATGCCCCAACGTGCCTGAAGTGGTTTATAAACTACTTTATGGCAAATCCCCCCCCCCTCAGATTTTGAAAGGATCAAGTTGGCAGGCCAGAGGGGGCAGCTAAGCAAGGCAACCAAGAGCAACTACCAGTGAGCACCCCAGGGAGGCGAGCGCGCTCAGGGAGGAGCACCCCCGAGAGGCAGGCAAGCTGCCCAGCCAGCCCTCTGCGGTGCTGAGGACACCAGTGCCCTTTTCCTACCAAGGTCACCAGGGGCAGCTCTGACCTCCTTGAATACTGTTTGCTCATGACCTGAGGACAAAGTGAGACCCACAGAAACGCCTGGTCAGTCCTGCGTCTCTGCCCGTGGGCAGTCTCCACAGGAAAGCAGCCCGAGGGCCAATCCAGCCCTTGAGGGGACCCAGGGTAGCTCTGCCAGGGAGGGGACAGAGTAGTTCATGAAAACGCAGTTGTTTCAATTAGATGGAACCAAGTTCTCCAGAAGGCTGTCACCAGGGTCATGGCCGCAAGAGCACTTCCACCACACAGTGGAGTGCTCCCTCCTGCACTCAGAAAGGGGGTGCGGGAATGCGGGGTGGGTGTGCGACGCCAGACAGCTCCTTCAATATGGCAGGCGGGAGCCCACCTCCAAGGGCTGCCACTCCCCAGGTGCAGTGTCCCTGCGACTGAAGGACCCCTCCCTACTGTTAGCTTAAACATCCCTCCAGGTATCCTGGAAGGAAATGTTCCGCCCCTCTGCATGAAGCTCGCGATCTGGGCAATGCCCTTGCTGACCTCAGAGCCTCCGAGGTGGCACCCCCAGGGCAAAGAGTGGGGCAGTGACAAGCACCTTCAAGTCTAGCCGGAGGTTATGGCCGGCTGATCCTGTAGATGGAGGGGGCGCCCTTCAGTAGTGATGTGAAGCCCCAAAGCTCCTTGGGAGGTGATTTGCCTGAGTGGCAGGTCTGATGGGCCAGCCCCTCCTCATCCTCTGCTCCCTTCATCACAAACTGTTACAACCCCCTGACCTTCAAACACTGAATCCCTGCGCAGCACTCAAATAAAGGCCAAGCACTGCCCAAACACCTCTGAGACACTGCGCAGTGGAGCACGCAGGTGGACAGCCGCCGCAGGTGAGCAGTGCTGGACCGTAAGGACGAGCCTGGGAGAGCAAGGACATCAAGGACAGCAAGGAGAGAACCTGGACATCTAGCTTCGCCTGCGGCCAGCGGTGGGACCTCGGGGGAGTTCCTTTAGCTCTCTGGGCTTTACTGCCTCCATCTACACAAATGAGCCCAGCACTAGATTTCTAAGCTTCTGGTACCCCAGAGCTTTCCCCGTTCGCGATGCCACGCCCCGGAGTCCTCCTGTGCCCCTTTCCTTTCACCACATAAAAAGTCCAATACTGCCAACGTTCTATTTGTTCTTAGAAAATAAAGCTTAAAACAACACCCTAAGGCCCGTTTTTCAGGTCAGACAGCCGCATCATCTCCTGCACCCTCACTGCCTGATTCTTTCTCCCTGGGACACAGAGCTGGGGGAACGGAGAGGCCCCTCCCTCAACCCGTGGTAACCCCCGGCTAGAATCCAACACAGCCTGTGGACCTCGCTCCCAAAGGCCCCTTCCCACGGAGAACTCCTCTAGCTCTATGAATCCTAGTCAGTCCATCATCCTGGGGTTCTCCAGGCATCCAGGGCCTGGGGGTGGGGCTGAGACCTGGGGGTGCCCTAGGGCCCATCTGCTGCAGTCACGTGGCCACCTGGCCAAGGCTCCCCCAGGTTCCCATCCAGTGGTGACAGCAGAGGACTCCCCACCCACCACAGCCAAACAATTTACAACTCTGGTTCTCGGTTTCCTCATCTTTAAAATGAAATTCATAAGATGACCATCACAGGCCGCCTGAACTCGCCCTGGGCTCTGTCCCCAGGCAGGGAGGCAGGGGACAGCCAATGAGATCATCAGCAGAGGCACAGGGATGGCAGGCATTCAGGGACACTTCCTCTGGTCTTGGGCTGTCCACACCAGAGACCCGCAGGATGCTGGGGCCAGGAGGCACCAAGGCCGCAGTGTGGACACCCACTTTCCAGAGCTGACAGGCTGGGGAGCACTTACTGAGTTTGTAGAAGAGTTTAAACTGAAACCAGCTCCCCAGGTTTAAGAAGTATTTTACATACTTTAGAAAATATGGTGCTTAGTTCTGCTTTGAAATTGTTCATCAACTTCCCTTCTTTGGATGACTCATAAACTAAATAATCTGTCATAATCATCTAGCTTATGATGCAGAATGCTACGACTGTAAATTCCTGCCGCTAGTGTTCACGATTCAGCCCTAGTGCTGCAGCAGAGACGGTGGTCACACCCGCTGCAGGCAGTGGGAAGAGGACTCAGGTGTCATGTCATCTTCCAGTCAGCAGCTGCCGTAGTGGGTGGCGGGGAGGGGGCAGGCATTCAGGGCCCACCAGTGGCCTCGGGGTGAAGAGGGAGCACTGGGCAGCAGGGAGATCCCGGGAGCTCAGCTGGCCTCGTTGATGGGAGTCCGGCTGCCACCCAGCAGTCTCTCGCGCTCGCTCTCCCGCGCAGGGTGCCAGCCCCGGGACAGGCAGGCCAGCAGTGGGTGGTGCAGCCCGTTGTAGAGGGCGGTGCCCAGCAGGAGGATGAGGAAGCCAAGGATCTGCAGCGCGTGGAAGTGCTCCCAGCCCACGGCCAGGCTCACTGCCCAGATGACCACAGTGCGCAGGCTGTCCAGCACCATGCGCGTTGTGGCGCTCAGTTCCTTGGTGACGCTGACGCCCGCGAAGTTGAAGAAGGCGATGCTGCTGATGTTGCCCAGCAGTGCCAGGGCGATGAGTGGCTGCCGGCCAAGCTGGCAGAAGGCATCCAGGGCATCCTCCAGGGTCCCTCGAGGGTTCCCGCTGAAGGAGCCAGCGGGGATGTAGTACATAGGCACCAGCAGCAGCGACAGGATCACGAAGCCGAAGAGGCCTGGGGCGGGGCGGAAGAGTTACTGTCTCCTCCTGCCTCAGCCTCTCGGCGCGGCCCACAGCACGGCGGCCTCTGAACTCGGGCCTCTCCTTCTGTTCTGCTTCTGGTCCACTCCTGGCCCCACCCGTCCACCTCTCAGGGAACACGGATTCATGCACCAGGCTCTGACCCTTTCCCTATCTCCACCCAGTAGCTTCTGATTGGGCCGAAAATAAAAAATCCATTTTATGCTGTGACCCCAAGGCGTGTTCTCAGGCACACAAGTACGCACACGCGTGCACACACACTCCCAAAACAACAGCTTCCCTTGCCATGTACAATGCTTGCTGATGCTTAAATTCTGTTTTGTTCATTTGAAAAAGAACTGCTGGCTTCAACTCCCTACACTGCTTTTTTAAGTTTGGTAAAACACAGCTAATTCAGTGTGCAGTTGGTCAGTGACAGGAAACTAGCCTGTCCTGGGATGTAAGTAAACGTGCAGCTTCATTCAGAAGACCTTACTAGAAGTTAAAATGAGTGGAACAGACAGCGTGCTTTTCCGTGTAACTGATCTCCGTTCAGCTGTCAGCGACTCTGCCCACACTGGGCCAGAGCCCAAGAGCTCCTGGTAGGCGCTCGTCCACTCTACAGGGACAGCTCTGATCTGTGTTGCTCGTCTTGTATCTTTTAAAGCATCATTTTGATAGCTGATTCTCTGCTCAGAAACCTTTGGTTGCTCCTCCTGCTTGTGACTTAGCCTAAATCCACGCCTGACACCACAGCTCTCCATGACAGGACCCCTACTAAATTTCCCCAACGATAAGACCTACAGTGTGCCCCAAGTACTCACACTGGCTTCCCAACCTCTGCCCTGCCTGTACCCCACTCCTGCCTGTTGGAATCTGTGACTTCAATGACAGCTTCTTTGCCCTGTGAGACTCAGACTTGCTTGGCAAACGAGGCATCACTTGAGCACGACCAGTGCAGGCTCTCGTGCTTTGCCAGGCCCTCTTTTTTGCTGGTGACCTCCCCAAGATGGGGTCCTCTTTGTCCTTGGTCCCCTCAGCCCAGCACAGTAGGTGTCAGAGGACCCTCAACTCCCACCTGAGGAAGGAGGTGGGGCAGGCGGCCCCCCCCACCAGTGGTCACCAGCACCTGCCCCTTGCTTCGTACGTGTGTCTGATGCCACAAGCTGACCCTCAGCATGTCCCGTCCACCATGCCTCCCTGCCCCGTGCCCACACGCACCCTCGGTGCCCACTGCCCGGAGTGGGTGCACGTTGTGCTTATAGATGAACTTCTCTTCTAGCACCATCTGGATGGCGACAATGATCTGGGCCATGATGATCAGCAGGTCCCCTGAGGAAGGGACAGTCAAGATGAAGCCAGGGCTGCCCCAGGGCTGGAGTCAGGGGGTGGTGACCGGAGGGCCCCAGGGACAGCACACACCACCTCCTAACTTTTCCAGCCCCTGTGCAGTTCCCGGGGCACAATCCTGACTGGGGTGCCGGACTCTCTGGTGCCGGAGGGGCAGGCAAAGTGGGCAGGCCCTCCCAGGCTGCAGACCCGCCGGGCCCGAGGGGTGCAGCTCAGGGTATGTGGCCTTGTAGGAGTCATGTGTTTGAGGCAGACGTTTCTGGTTCCATTCTGACTCTTGGTAACCCAGAGTGGTCACTCTATCAAAAAGTGGGCTGTAATGGCTCCTTGTGGGGACTGGGAGGGCACCTGTGACAAGCATGACATGGTGCTCAGTGCCAGGCTGGGCACACACCAAGTGCTCAGGAAGTGGCCCTTCTAAGGCCTCTCTGGGCAGCAGCTGGGGTCTGTGCTTATGCCTCGCAGCACACAGCGGTCCCCTGCTCTGACTTCCGGCTCCCACCTGTCTGCTCACACCCCTTGCCCCTCCTTCTCACAGTCACGCACCTCTCCAGGCTCCCCTGTACTCTCTCCCACCCCTTGGTGGCAGATGTGTGCCCTCACCCAGGACCTTGACTAAGTCTGTGGGCTGACTCTGATGGGCTCCCCAGGAGAATGGGACGGAACAGGGCAGGACAGGCAGCCGCTGGGTCCCAAGGGCCGCACCTGTGATCACTTCGCTGAGCTTGTGTTCACTGTCAGGCTTGCTCAGGAGGTCAGCCAGGCCCACGACCACCAGCCCCACGATGGTGGCCAGGATGCCCAGCCACTGGCTGATTGCCAGCCTCCGGCCCAGGAAGGCCACTGAGAGCAGGCCTGTGAATATGATCACTGAACCTCGTAGCATCTGGAAGCTGGAGGCGCTGGTCATGTTCAGGGCTAGAAGAGAGACACGACTATTAGCTCTATCTTGAGGTCAAAGGCTGGCTTGCCCCGATCTGGTGCAGAGCCAAGATGATGCACATACAGAGCCACTAGCAGCCCTGGTGCCGTGCAAGTTCACAAGTGAAGTGTGCGGGAGAGCGCGTGTGCGGGTGCTGTTCCACTGGTGGCCCCTTCAGGACACAGCCTGGCCCGGCTACTCACCCACATACATGATGCTGGTGCCCGTCATGTCACAGAGGGCTGGGGGCAGGAAAAGAAGGGGGTGGAAGGGCTGCTGGGGGTCCACGCCGGAGTCTGAGTGCCCTGTGGCTCTGCACTGGAGCAGGTAGAAGGCAGCCAGGCAGGAGAACTCTCCCAGGAACATGCCCACTGCCTGCAGGGACGGAAAGTTGACGACTCAGAGAGGAAGAGATCTTGGCGGGAATCCTTGAACAGCAGTGTTTTTTAACTCTTTCTTTTTTGTTTTGTCTTTTTCCTTTTTATCGGTACCAGGGATCGAACTCACAACTGCCTGCTTGCAAGGCAGGTGCTTATGCCGCTGAGTTAAATCCCCAGCCCAACTCTGTCTTTCTTTAAGTAAAACCTGACCTAGGACACTGACTTGTCCAACAGACAAGAGGAGAGCTGCTGTGGGAGGCCACACAGCCTCCTGGATCTGCCCCAAGAGGCCCCCTCAGGGTGTGTGATTCACTCAGCAAACCCCAAAATTCCAGGAGAAGCAACTGGGCCCGAGAAAGCTTCAGACTTCAGGAATGCTGACCTAGCCAGGACTGAAAAGTGAGCCACATGATTCGCAGTCCAGCAACGGGGTATCTTCCATGGACAGGGACCGTCCTGTCCCAGTGGCCGCCTGAGCTGCTGGTGCACACATGGGCCAGTGCATCCCCTGTATCCTGACTGGATGCGGTGTGGGCATCACCACTTGTTGGGATTGTGGCCTCCTGCAGAGCCTGTGCCCTCTGGCCCTCTGCCAGGGACACTTGCAGACCCCAGCCTTGTTCTAGTGTGTGCTGTGTGCCGTGAGGACAGCAAGAGGCAGACGGCTCTCCGGGGAGCAGGGGAGCCAGGAAACAGCCTGTCCCGGGCACCCATGGGAGGCCGGGGAGACGGAAAGGGCCAGGGCCCCTACCTGGAGGAACGGGTGCTGGAAGCTGTGCTCCTCGCTCCCTCCGCAGCCCTCGGCTTTGAAGTTGTCCGCCCACCTGCAGCAGAAGCACGGAAGGTCAGTGTGGTGCCTGAGCTCCCTCTTCCCAGTGCTCAGAGGTCCACACGCAAAGAATCAGCCCCTGTTGGGCACCTCTCGGAAGGGCCAGACTCTCCAGCAAAGGTTTTAAATCTTCAGGTCCTCGACGTATGAACGTGGTACTGCATTGGCTCACAGAAATCGCATTGAAGTCTCAGTATTTACAGTGAAGCATCACTGATGTTCATTACGCATCAAAATCAGTCCCTGGACCCACTACTTGAAAATTTTTTTTCTTCTTTTTTTTTTTTTTGTCTTTTTCTTTTTTATCGGTACCAGGGAACAAACTCACAACCGCACACTTGCAAGGCAGGCTCATTTTTTTTTTTTGTCTTTTTCATTTTTATCGGTACCGGGGATTGAACTGACGACTGCCTGCTTGCAAGGCAGGCTTTTATGCCGCTGAGCTGAATCCCCAGCCCCCACTATATTAATACTAATATATTAATAAACATGTATGTATCTATCATTATCTTGCAAATTTGCTTTTCAGTGTCTGATAACCTTGTTTTAAACTTAATCTGTTCCTTTTATAATCTTTGGTCTCTTAGTTGCACATTTTAAGACATTAAGATGATGACCATCAGCTATACCAGGCTGTCAAAGGGATCTGAAGCACAAAAAGGGTCAAGCTCCTCTGGTCACCATGCATGGTGCTGCACACTTGTAATCTCAGTAGGGGAGGCTGGGGCAGGAGGACCACAAATCTGAGGTTAAGTTGGACTAGTGACACTTTGTTTCAAAAAACAAGCAAGCAAGCAACCAAACTAAAAAATCCCATCAAAACAACACACAAATTGGGCATAGTGGCACATACCTGTAATCCTAGCACTCAGAAGGCTGAGGCAGGAGGATCATTGCAAGTTTGAGAACAGCCTGGGTTACAAAGAGAGCTCAAGGCCAGCCTGAACTGCATAGCAAGACCTTGTCTCAAAAGACAAAAAACCCCAAATTAAACAAAAAGATTCTCTGGTCTGAGAGGGGTACCGGCCCTGGAGAAGACTACCAGGTCATCTTTATGGAGCCCGAAAGGTCCTTGTGAGCCTGGTCCTAAAGCGGGGGCAAATGCACTGCAGCTGGGAAGTGACAGTGGACACCACGGTGGATGGCGAGACAGGCAGCATTGAGTTCCTGTGCACTGTCCCTGCTGAGCCCAGATGCCTCCACAGCACGGTGTTCGGGTGGCGGCCACACATCGTTCGGAACCATCTGCCATCTCTGCACAACTTCCTCTTGTGAATCCCATTTCTGCCAGGCCACTGTCTCTGGAGTCCAGCCCAGTCCTTCACTTGAATGTCCCTCCGCTATCTGGGGACTTTTCTGCCTCCTGGATCTTCTCACCTGACCACAGCGCCAGTCCTTCCTAACCTTTGCTCCTCTGGTTGCTGACCCCCGGACGCGCCCTGGTGGGTCCAGGCCCAGAGCCAAGCATGTGACCCAGTCCAGACAGAGGCCGGCAAGACAGTGACTCCTTCCTTACGCTGGACACCCTGGTTCTGCTGACGCTGCTCTCGCTGTGTCAGCCGCGTCCCCTGCTGTGCAGAGCTGCTTTCCGTGGGGTGGGTCCCGCTCCCACAGCAACGCCTCAGACGCAGATGGCAAAGTGTGACACTCAGGATTCTTTCTGTGACATGTCCTCTCCTGAGGTGCCTTTCACAGCCGCCACACTGCCGTGACTGCCACACACTCCTGGCTTATCTACCACAAGCCTGAGCTCCCACAGGGCGGGAGAGCCTTCTGTTTCCTGTGCTTCCCACAGAGCTACAGAGCTTGAGCCCCTGGCTGTGCTGGGCCCATGGTCTGGGTTTGACAAACATCCTGCCTAGCAGCCCTGGCTTCTTTGTGTCCCAAAGCTGGGGCAGGGCAGCTCGGAGCACCTCTCCCACCCAGGACAAAGACATGATGGGGACTCAGGGCCAGCTGGGTGTGGTGGAGCTCTTGGGCCACCATGAGGGACACACAGACATCTGACAGTGATCTCAAGGAGTGAGCATGTCTACGTGGAGGCCTAAGCCTACGTCCCAGGGTGAGGGAAGGAGGCGGCTATGGCAAACCCTGGGCAGTGGGGGACCCTGCCTGCATCCAGCAATGTGGAAAAACTGGAGAGGTGGGGAGGGTTTGTGGTTCTTGGAGTGGGGCAGGGGGCTGAGAGAGAGGGTGGAGGGCAGGCCGAAAGCAGGGCAAGTCTTGACATGGCTGCTGAGAGGGCACAGAGAACCTGGGGAACCTGCCCAACTACTGGCTGTAGCTCTGGGTCCTCGGGGCAGGACAGGACACGGACGCGATGTGGGCCAAAGCAGGCCTGCTGTGACCCTCAGCCCTCTGCGGCGGCTGGACTGAGCTCCCTCTTCCCCCAGTTGTTGTGGCTTTCTCTAAGGTAGGTGTGCCTGGACAGGCTAAGCTGGCCGGCTGCCGGCTAGGGAAATGGAATCTCTTTGTATCTAAGAGCCCAGTAACCTGAGGGACTGGGTATCAGCCCACGGCTGCTCTGCCCTGGAGTCTCTTTAGGCTGAGGAGCAGCAGCTCAGCATTCTAGGTCTCTGGGGACAGGAGACAGCTTTGGCTCAGCTGGCTGAGGCCTAGGCATCTGTCTAGAGGGGCACAGGCCACTGCCCCTGCACTTCCCAGGGCCCAGAAATGTGGAAACTGAAGAAACTCAGCCTGCATCTCACGGACTTCCTTATCTGACAGGAAAGAAACCCAGGGCCAGAGGGACACAGAGCTCCTCAGGTACTGAGATGTGGGCAGCTCCCAGGCTGGCACCCAGAATGGCCAGTCGGCTCTGCGCTCCTCTTGCACACTTATGCTCTGTTATGAGGTTCCATCTTACTCCAGACTCCTCTCGCCCCACTGTGGGGGTGAGAGGTCAGCTGTGTAGACAGAGCCTCTTTCCTCTGTGGGCACTGCCTCCTGGGGGACAGGGTGAGGCCCATGACGGAGACCTCTGGCAGCTGAGGGTCTCTCCAGGGTTCCCAGTGTGGGCAGGCAGGCTGCGGAGCGGGGTGCCCATGCTGAGCAGTGAGTCACTTCCTGGCGGGCCCTGCTCACACTCAGTGCAGGATTGTGGGTGCTATGTGACCGAGTGTGGCCAGGGTGGCGGGCATATTCAGGAAGAGGCCGATGTGGCTGGCTCGGGCCCATCAGCTGCATGTCCATTCCCACAGAATCTCTGCTGTTTCCTGCTGTGTCCCCAGCTTGTCAAGGCCAGACAATCAGGTCCCTCTGCCTAGGCATCCAGAGGACAAGGATCTAGAGGAGGGCCAAGGCTCCTCCACTGCTCTAGGGTCCTAAGGCTTAGGAGCAGGTGGCCCTGGCTTATATGTGACATGGAGCCCTCTCACCTCCACAGATGCCAGCGCCTTCCTCGGCCCACTGTCCAGGAAGGAGGCAGGCAGGGCGCGTCTTGTCTGTTTTATAGGAATGAAGGCTCAGGGAGGTCTGGTGACTCATCCCACAAGCTCCTGAGTCCCGTGTTCCTTCTGTACACTCCTCTCCACTGTAGGCTTCCCAAACTGGTCCTTCAACTCCTTTGAAGCAACTGTCCCGAGAGTTCTTGGAACCCAAGGGTGGAGAAGTACCAGGGGCAAAAAAATTGGAACTGGCAGGAAAGGACAGTGAAAGACTCTTCTCTAATAGAAGCCTGGTGGTGCCGGGCAAGATTGTAGGTCTTGGGAGAAGGGAAGTCGGGCCCATCTGCCCACCCTGGCTGGTGCTGCAGCAAAGCTGGGAGGGGACTCAGCCTTTGGAAAGGATTCCTGACTACGAGTCTCTATCTCTATGGAGTGACTGCTTGGCCTTGGCTCTTCAGATGCAGAACCTAAGCAAAACTGGGAAGAACCGGCTCTAAAACGGGGACTGGTCCAGGAAGACAGAAATAGACGGATCTCAGGGAGGCGATCAACAGAAGGTGCTGAGGAGGGGTGAGAACACAGCCAGGGAAAGGGGAAGCAGACTCTTCCCTGGGAGGGGTGGCCTGACTGGTGTTTTGCACGCCAGGGGCATGTGACATCTCCCTGCATCCTCCCGAAAGCTGCTGAATAGGTGGAGAAGAGCTGGGTTTGGATTCCAGCCCCGCCCACATGCACTTCCTCATCCACTGCCCTGAGTCTTCTGAGAAGCCGGGAGAAGCATGGTGCTTCTATTACAGGCCAAGGCATCGCAAGAGTCACAGAACTCGTAAGCTGGTTCCAGGCGGAAGAGAAGTAGCGCGATGACAGGGTTCCCCGGTCTGATCAGAGGGCTGCTGCCCAGTCCCAGGAGAGGTTACCCTCAGACACAGGCTTGCTTCCTTGGGGAGAAAAGAGAGGAAAGCCCAAGGAGGCAAGACTTCGGGGTCTTAAAGAATGGGACAGGACTAATGTCCCGAGGCCTGGGTGCTAGCCGTTACTCCTCACTGACCGGCCAACTTGGAAAGCAACTTTTTCTTGGATTTCTGTTTTGAATGATTCTAAGTACCCCCAAATGATCTGCTATTCCCACTGGCGGTTAAGGGAACAGATTCTAGAGACTCTGCCAGCTGACACTTGTTGAATTTGGTAACTTTACCACACCATCAGTTTCCTTATCCAGAAATGATGAGTTATAAAAGCAGGCTTATAAGAATTCTCTGGGTTTACATGAAAGGCGCCCAGAGCAGGGCCAGGCACTTGGTAGATCTGGGTGCTAACTGTGACAGGCTGACCATGCTGACCGTAATCACAGGCCTGTCTCTCTGCGCCTGATGGAAACTGCAGGTCGGAAATGTGACTTTCAATCTATAATTCACATCAAGATGTTAGGCTGCTCTCCCTCATTCTTTCTGTCTAAGAGCATCCTCTTCACAGTTTGGACTTAGAATACTGCTTAGCATCCAACTCCGGGGCTTGTTGCAGGGTGGGAAGCTTCTGAGAGGCCCCAGGTTACAGGGCAGGGGATGTGACCAAGGGTTGGGTCTCTCACCTGAGAACTTGTTTCCCGATTCTCAGGCAACCTCCAAGAGAGAAACCTCCAGGGACTAAAGGCCCCCTGGCTTGCCACCTGACTGGTTTGAGCTTTTGAAGGAAGCAGCTGACTCAGTACAGTTTATCCCAGTAGTAAACAGCTAATGAGATTCTCCTTGGGGACAACAATTTGGCAAGACTTATAGCTGTGTTCCAAGTAAGTGACCAAGACTCTGGCTGGTGTGACAGTTAGATGGAAGACTTGTGCTGTGTTCAGGTCCTGACTGAGATGGGAACCCTCAGTCACAAGGTGTGACCTCCGGGGTGCAGGAGGCCAGCAGCTCCTCACAGGGTACAGCTGATCAGAGGTGAACCAGAGAGATGGATGGTGCCACTAGAGCCCCATGGACTGTGTCCTCCATTAGGGGAAGGACACTGCGACTGCCATGTCCATCTCAGGCTGTGTAAGCATCTCAAAATCAAGGACCTTTTCTTGGTTGCTTTCCTCTCACTTTGTATGTATCTTACATGTATCTGGGGAATTGAGTATTTCTCTCTGTCTCACCTCTGAAGCACCTTTCATATCACTGACAGGACTGCTAGATACAAACGGTTCAAAAATGAGTAAGAAACAGGGACATCCCTCACGAGGCTCAAAGATTCTCTCTTTGCGGTGCTCCAGATGAAACCCAGGGCCTTGGGATGGTAGGTAAGCACTCTACCACTAAGTCACAGGAATCTCCCAGAAGACCCAGGAGACTTGGAGGACAGTGCAGAGGATAGCCATGCTTGCACTGGGAGTCAGCACACTGACCTGCTGGCTTCAGAGCAGGCACTTGCCAGGTGGAAGTAAGGCTTGCCTGGGTGAGGACCACTGTCCACTCTTCTTCATGTGCACCCTGGAATCATTTCTGATAAAGGCCAGGCTTTGGGAACTGGGCTTTTAGATGATGAACGGGAGATGGAGAGTCCTGCTCTGAGATGAGCACAGAGAAAGCGGCAAAAAACTGCCCCGGGGAGGAACTTCTTGTCCATGACAGAGAGGAGACAACACTCAGTCCCTCCGCCTCCGGCTGCTCTGGGCTCTGGGTGCTCAACTCCTGGGGACTGGCCTTACCGTTTCTGCACACCATACCAGAGCTAAACTGCCCACCTATGCTCCCGGTTGGGTTAAGACCATTTCTCTTCCTCCAGGCAGAAACCCTCATCTTGTGGCTCAGGTCACTCTTCACTTTCCCACCTGCCCCACCCCTCGCGCCTCATTTCTTCTCTCCTAATTGCCTTCATTTGTTAGCAATAGCCAGAGTGGTTTTTCTCTGCCCCAATGCATGCAGGTGGACCTCCAGATTGTCCATACCGCTTCTTTCTTTTTTCCAATCAGTCTTTCAGCATGTCACTTTCCGAATCAACAGTCCCTCTCAGCCATTTGGGGCTGGTTACCAGTCGCTTTGAGCTAGCTTCCCCTGCCTGCAAGTCTGCACCTCTCACAGAACCCCACTTAGGTGGCAGGCGCAGCTCCCGCCCCTGCTTCAGAAACAGCCCGTGGGCAGCCTCGCGCCTGCTGCCTCTGCCCTGTCCGCTCGCCGGTCACTCGGCCTGCACGGCCCCTCCAATCAGTCCGCGTGCCCGAATCCAGGAGCCTTCTCCGCTAGGTCCCTGCCCCAGCCGCCGAAGGGAACTGGGGGCGCAAAGTCCAGCCGTGGAGTAAGGCCGACTCTGTGCTGGGGCTCGGATCCCCCAAACCAGGCCGCCGGCTTTGAGATTCCCACGGCCTGGCAGCCCTGCGGTGGTCCCTAAACAGCGCGAGCCGCCCCTCAGGGGCGACCGCGGAGGAAACCGGAAAGGCGACCGGCGGAGGGGAGCGCGGAGCGGCCAGCGCCCGCAGCCCGGCAGCCCCCCTCCCCGCCAGACCCAGACTCACTTTGCCGAGAGCGTGTTGATCGAGCCGGTGACAAGCATGAGCCCGGCCAGGAACAGCTGGTACTTGGTCCAGGCCATGGTGGGAACGCGGGAGGCCACAGGGGTCCACACCGCCCGCCCGGTCACCCGGGGGTCTCCAGCTCGAGCGCTTCCGGGCCGGGAAGCCACGTGACCCGAGCGGCCCCGCCCCTCACGTTCGCCCCGCCCCCGCTCGCCCCGCCCAGCCCCGCCCCGCGCCACGCCGCGCCGGGAATGCTTCCAAGTCCTGGTTCCTGGGCTCCGCGGTCCTGCTCTGGTGCCGGCTGTCTGTTCTCAGCTCTGTAGTCGCAGCTCGGTATTCCCCGCTTCCTCCTCCCACCTCTTTTTTCTTCCTTGCAGGACCGGGGATTGAACCCGGGGCTTCACGCAGGCCAGGCCAGCGCTGTGGCCTCCCTGTTTGTAGAGGGGACCGGTGGGCGGAACGGTGAAGATGCAGCGTGGATGTTAGCGCATTTCGTAAACCCTTGGTAAGGCTGAGCTGGATCACGTCTGATACTAGCCAAGAAGTGGAAACGTCCTCTCTCCAGGGTCCTCAGGGAGGGCCTGGGGGCCTGGGACGTGTTCCTAGGGATCCCAGCCCTCTGAGTTGTTCATCTCCCGGCAAAGTGGAGTAGGACTGTAGTTCCAGCTGCCAGGGAGATCAATTTACAGGCAAAACTGACATGCTTACAAGTGGTAGAGGGGACGGGAGTTGAACTCAGATTCTTTAGTCTCTGAAGCAGGTGCCTTCTGTGCAGACCCTGAACTAAACCCGGCCCGCTGGCTCCTTCGTGGATCTAGGCGTGGCTCAGAGGCATCCAGGCATCGAGGCTGTCCCTAGGTTTGTCTGCAGAGGCCTTTTGGATTTTAGAATCTTACCCCTATTCTCACCTGTGCAGGTGTCTACCTTCCTCTTCAGTGCCCCAGGCTGTGTCTACACCCTGACATAGCAGAGAGGCAAGACCCCTTTGGGGGTCTGCTTTGACTTAATATGCAGATTTCCCTCATTAGTACGGCTCTAATTACGGAGGCACAGACATAGGACCCATCTGCTACTTTGTGCTTGTCGGCAGACTGCCTTGATCTTGTGAACAGGGGCAGTGAATACCCAGAAGAACCTTCAGGGATCTGCAGCACACCTGCCCGTGGCAGGAAGAGCTGCTGGAGAAAGGGTTAGAAATAAGGGAGTCCTGGACAAAGGAGAGCACTGGCTAGTAGACAGGGGAAGGAAGGGCTTTCCTGCAGAAAGCAGTGGTGAGCTCAGTGGCTTGGAGGCGCCAGCGAATGAGGATCCTGTCTGCGCCCTGCAGATGTTCTAGAACTCTCCTTTATTGGAGCTGATGTCCTTCGCAGAGGGTAGGAGACCCAGGAGGAGGCTCTTCTGAGGTTTTTGTCCACACCAGTTTTATGTGACTTTGAAGATATTCATTTATCCAAACATTTACTGAGACACTGGGCATAGGATGAATGAAACACAACTGTCCTCGGGGACCGGCTGAGGCAGCACACACCAGCTGACAGTCCCTTTCCGTGGGAAACAGTTCCTATAGGCAACATGGAATCACTCAGTAGGGCTCTGAGCCATTTGCTCTGCGTTTTCAGGCCAAAGGCACTGTCTCAAAGTAAACAATACTAGTGATATTGGTGTCACCAGTCCAACATGAGGTCACTAGCAGCACAGTCTTTGTAGTTATACCATAAAGTGAATTTTAATTTCTCAAGATGGCCTACCCACTCATGAAATGGCTGTCTCTGGAACCTGGGACAAAGGAGGACGTTGACAAACACACAGAACCCACTAAATGTAAGGCATAGAGTCAGGAATGTGACCCTGATGAGTAGCCAGATGTCTTAATTACTTTTCTTGTTGCTGAGACAAAATACCTGACACTCAAAGTTAAGGGAGACTCACAGTTTGTAGAGGTTTCAGTCCATAATTGACTGGCTCCCAGGCAGACTGGCATGGCAGAGGGGCATTGCGGAACAGAAACAGTTCGTGGTGGGCAGAGGGCAGCAAAGCAGGTGACAGCAAGAAGCAGCAAGCAACCAGTGACAGCACTAGCTCTCTTTCTGTCCCTTATATTTTATCACACCCAGGGTGGGCACCCTTAATCCTACCCAGGACTGTGCCAGACCAATCAGTGGACTAATGTAATCACAATCCTTGAGCCCAGCGCTGCGTATTCCAGATCCAGCCACCTCTGAAAAACTCCCTCTATGACTGCATGAGTGTGGGAGACTCCCCTTGAATGCAGAACAATTGCTGCAACATTGATTATATCGAGGCGTATTTCCATATGCTGATATGTACAGAGCTGGCTATGGTATTTCCTTCTCTGTTCAATTGGCTCTAAGCATTGCAAATAAGGCTAGCTGAGCTCCTGGTATGTAACATCTAAAGCCATCAGACAGTCTTCTGTTTCCTTTCCTAGTGTTCTCTGTAAAAGATGGGAGTACAGTAGGATGACAGAGCCAGTCAGCTCCAGGATTGTTACCTGGGTATGAGCCTCCACACAAAGAGGCTATGAGTCCCCAGGCACAGAAGTTACGTGTCAGAAGCTGAAGCAACAGTCTCCAGAAACAATTCAGTTGGTACCTTAATTGAATTATGTTGATTAGTCCTTCTGCTCGTCATTCTCCCTGCATTTCACAAAGATGCTTTCCCCCCACCGGCCTCGCCAGGTCAGGTTACTCCTCAGTGTTCTCCTCCCCGTCATTCATCCTCGAGCCAACCCTTTCTTCACAAGATAATAAATTCTGGGAGAGGCCTTGGGTCAGAGTCTTTGTCCGAAGTATCCCAGGGATTGGATTTAGGAGCCCTTGGCTGCCCTTAATTTTGAATATGTCTTACTGTCTTTACTCTTGCTGTGGGTTGCATTGGACGTGGTAGATTGGAAATAACTTGCCGGGACTGCAAATAAGGTCTTAATGGGATTATAAATATAACTGTTTGGATTGTGAGGAAAACTGGAAAAGGGATTATAATACTTGGATCGCAGTCACAGTGTTTGAGGTTTTGGGGGACATCTAGACACAAATCATGACACCAGACAAGATCATTTCCATCCAGAAGTTTGAGATTCATAGAGGAAAGGAATGCGCCATTAACCATGTAGCCATGTGAGAAGAGACGGAGTTGGGTGAAGGGATAGATTCTCAAGGGATCGGGGATCCAAAGGATGACAATCACAAGTGTCTTGGATCAGGTACGCAGTCTGTATCAGGCCTGTACCCAGAGCTTGATCTTCCTGGGCTCAGGTTTCACAGAAGTCCTTTTTATCTTTTTCCTTTTTTTTTTTATTGGTACCAGGGATTGAAGCGTGGAAAATCATCAGTGATCTGCACATGTGTTATCCAAGGCTCAAGACGGGATACATGTTCAGAAAAAAGGGTCATTAGCGTGCTCTCAGGTCAACCTTCTGATCTCAAAACATTATTTATTGGACATCTTCTTAGACCCAAGTGAAGAGTGATGTTTTCAGCACAAACAGCTTTGAATCCATAAAAGGAACCTTGGGTTATCATCACAACCAAAATGTCAGTGGTATTATCTACAGCAGCAGTGGTGGGAATATAATAATAGAGCTCAGCTGTATGATCTCCAGAATTAGTGATTTTAACCTGTTTTTGCTTTTTTTGTACCGGAGATCAAACTTATAACCTTGTGCTTGCCAGGCAGGTGCCTGGCCCCTGAGAATTGGTAATTTTTGAATCTAGCTAAATTCAAGGAACTAGGCGGGTGCATGAGGGCTGAGACTGGGAAGAGGTAAAGAGTACGCAGGTTTGCTATTGTAAATGTGACTAGGCCAGTTGTATCTCTTGACGGGTGCGTTAGTCACTTTCTGTTACTGGGACAAAATAGCTAACACCTGCAAATTAAAGGAGATGGCTATTTTCAGAGGGCTTAGGTCTCTGATGGCAGCAGAGTTAGTTATTAACCTTGTTGGCTTTTATTTACGATTCATGGTGGGGTACCCTCCACTCTCCAAAGCAGATCCTGCCGGGGAGCAGCACAAGTGGGGCCGTGGAAGTTGAAATTAGAGTGAGGACAGGAAAGAGTAAGATTATCATCAGGTTACTTTGGTTACTTTTTTGTAAGGGTTAAAACAAGGAGACTTGCTTTGTTGACTCAGGGAGACTGGAATTTCTTTTTTTTCAGGAAACACCGGTCTATTTGGGGATCTACCTTCTTTATTAAAACTTCAGGGGCCTGGGGATTGAGCTCAGTGACATAAGTGCTTGCTTTGCAAGCAGGCAGTCGTGAGTTCGATCCCTGGTACCGATAAAAAAAAAAGGAAAAAGACAAAAAAAACAAGACAAAACAACAACAAAAAAACTTCAGTCAGACTTGGTGGTATTTAGTCTGAGTGACTCTGTGTTGTCCTCTGGTTTGCTGAAGCCTACTGCAGGAGCTCAGTTCACAACAAAGGGTGATCTATCTATCTATCTATCTATCTATCTATCTATCTATCTATCTATCTCTCTGTCTATCTACCTCCCCTAAGAGCTGGGTGCAGGGTGCAGTGACACCCATCTTTAGTACTGGCACTCAGCAGGCTGAGGTAGGGAGATTGCTGCAAATTCAAGGCCAGCTTGAATAGCACAGCAAGACCTTGCTTAGCCAAAAAAAAAAAAAAAAAAAAAAAAAAAAAAAATCACTCCAAAACAAAAACAAAACATCTCCAGGAATTTAGAACCTTATGGCATGAGATGACTTGTGTGTAAACTGTCCCAGACTAGGTATATGTCACTTTCCTATCACTGGGACAAAACACCCACCATGTAAAGGAGAAGAAGGTAATTTGGGCTCACAGTTTCTGTGCACTCAGGCCATGATTGGCTGGCTTCGAGGCAGACGTGGCGTGGTGGAATGGCATTGTGGAGGAAAGCTGTTCACTGAATGGCAGCCAGGAAGAAGGGGGACAGAGAAAGAGAGAAAAAGGGGCATATATTCCAAGTCATGCCCCCAGCCTTCTAACGAGGCCCTACCTCCAAACATGAGGTATTTTAGATCTAAACAGTAACATTAGGGAACGGGTATGCCTTGGGCTAGGTGTGTCACTGAAAGCAAAGTGACTGTGTTTGACGACTTCATCAATCATTAAGAAGTCCACTTTCCCCATCTGTAAAATGGGAACAATGTTCACAGGTTGCTTTGTGAAGAGAAGGA